AGGGCATAAAATTTATATAAAACTACCTTACCTTTTATTTATATAAAACTACCTTCATTTAAACATTAAATTTATATAAAACTACCTTCAGGGTATATGCTATTTATATAAAACTACCTTCAGGGCTATTTATATGTTATTTTACCTTCAATGTTATTTATATAACCTTCAGGAGGATATAAACTATTTATATAAAACTACCTTCAGGGTATATGCTATTTATATAAAACTACCTTCAGGGTATATGCTATTTATATAAAACTACCTTTGGGTAAACTACCTTCAGGTATGTTATTTATATAAAACTACCTTCAGGGTATATGCTATTTATATAAAACTACCTTCAGGGCATATGTTATTTATATAAAACTACCTTCAGGATATATGCTATTTATATAAAACTACCTTCAGGGTGCATGCTATTTATATAAAACTTTTTGGGTAAATATTCAGGTATGTTATTTAAAAAACTACCTTCAGGGTATTTTATTTATATAAAACTACCTTTTATATGCTATTTATATAAAAACTACCTTTCAGGTAAATCTACCTTCATATGTTATTTATATAAAACTACCTTCAGGGTATATGCTATTTATATAAAACTACCTTCAGGGGCATATTTATTTATATAAAACTACCTTCAGGTATATGTTATTTATATAAAACTACCTTCGGTATTTTACCTTCAGGTATGTTATTTATATAAAAATGGGTATATGCTATTTATATAAAACTACCTTCAGGGCATATGTTATTTATATAAAACTACCTTCAGGGCATATGTTATTTATATAAAACTACCTTCAGGGTATATGCTATTTATATAAAACTACCTTCAGGGTATATGCTATTGAAATAAAACTACCTTCAGGGCATGCGTTATTTATATAAAACTACCTTCAGGGTGTATGCTATTTATATAAAACTACCTTTGGGTAAACTACCTTCAGGTATGTTATTTATATAAAACTACCTTCAGGATATATGTATAAGCTGTGTTATGAAACATAAAAGGAATGCAACTGAGACACCAGAGACACTAACAAGGACAAAAAAATTTGAAATGATGCCGAGTAACACAAACTAAAATCCTTGGTAAATTCAGTTAATGCTACATGCTGCCAAATTCTTCCACTTCCCAGAAAATGTGTCTCCTTATATGGAGCCTTTAGCGGTTGGCTAGCAAAGGAATAACTCACCACACTGACTATCTCATTGGAGAAGCTGGTAAGCACTTTCTTCATAACCAGATGTTCCAGGGTTTGCACTGGCTCTTGTTCTGTCACAGCAGCCATATGCCATCTTTCTACAAAGACATTTCATCCATATAATGGCTCTGTTTTTGTCGTTAATGCTTACATTAATTCCTCTTCATTGACAATCCCTTTTTACTAGTTTTCTATGCATAATATAGAGAATGCTGAAACTTGCAGAAACAACTATTATTTTAGATAAAAAGTTTCAAAATTCAACCTTTGACCATCCCCCAAAATATTTATCTTTCCTGCCAGAAATATTTCATTTTCTCATACAGGAAATGTCAAAAGCTAATTAATGGGTATGACAGAATTTTGATCAAGTCAGTGGGCAGAAATTAAAATATAGCAGCAAGAATTGTTTCATCCTTTTCTCTCCCACCAAAATATGTCATGTGACTCCCAAATTCCCACTCATAAAAAATGATTTTATCTTATGTATCATGTAAATTCTTTTTTGAGAGACCAAATTACAAAAATATTACCAACAATATTATACTGAAGCATTTTACCTTTCTCAATGTGTAGACATCAGCTTGGACTGTAATAGGTAAAGGAGTATTGTAGCTGTGGCAGAGTAGCACAAGCACCCATGGATCTTGAATGAATCAGAATGAGAAATATTGAGCAATCTTTGACTAACATGGCAAATGCTTTGTGCGTTTGTCAGGTAACATCAGCAAAAGTATGAAAGCAATACCATATGTACTCGTGTAACGTACAATCTTGCGTATCATGCAATCCCCAAATTTTTACTTATAAAAAATGATTTTATCATGTGAGTTCCTTTTTTAAGAAACCAAATTACAATAGACTAACCTCTTCTATCTCTTTATTGCATCTTCCAGTTAGAAAGTAAAAGAAAATGATAAAAGTATTGTTAGTAACGCTATACTAGTTGCGTAAACACATACAGGCATAAACAACCAAATGAGAAACAGCTAAACATCTCATAAACGTAAACAATGGAAAAGATGCATATTCACTATGTCCGAATTTTATAATACAATATTAATATGTGAATATTACATGCGTTATTATTGGATAAAGTAAAGTAAAATATCAGTTTTATCAAAATCATGTTTATTTTAAATACAGCTATACATTTTACTACATTAAATGAATATATTGTTTAGTCAATGATGTAGCCAGGGCCAGCAGTACATACATTAATTTTATATCACATGTATGATTCAACCCTCTTAAAATTAGCTTCAAAATGACATCTCCAAAAGTCGCATGATACATGAGCATATACAGTATTTAATATATTCTGCCCATGATATCATAAACAGTTTTAATAAATCCCCTATTCCACAACCAAATCTTTTGCTTGTCAAGAAAAGAATAAAAATTCTGTCAGAGCTATTTGATATCAATAAGTCATTTCGGCTACATGTTAGTGAGTTTGATTCTCACCGGGTGTCCCATGCAAAAATCAGCATTACATAATCCAATAAGAGTTGACAGGTCTTAAAATCAGTCAACCATCAAAATAGCTTAATGGTTAGTGATGCTAGTTTGGTTAACTATTAATACTGAATAGTGGGTTTGATCCTCACTGGGTGCCTCTTACAAAAATTCAACATTAAATAATCCAACAAAGGTTGGCATTTTGTAAACCCAACCAAGCAGCAATTGGCATAGCTTAATGGTTAATGAGTTGTCTGGTTGACCATTGCTACTGAGTATTGAGTTTGATCCTCACTGGGTGCTCCATACAAAAATTCAAAATTAAATAAAGCAAGAGTTTTTTCATCTTCTTCTTTGCTATTTCTTGTTTTTCTTCTTCGTTTTGTTTCTCTCCTTTTCATGACAGCTCTTTTTCCTTTGTTCTTTTCCTTCTTTTTCTTCTTTTCTGTCTCTTTTTTCTTCTTCTCTCTTTAATTTTTATCTTCTCTTTACCTTTTCTCTTTTTCATCTGCTTTCTATTATTTCTCTTTCGTCTTTTTCTCTCCTCTTCCTTTTATTTTTACTTCACTCGCTGTTTTTTTTCTTTTTCCTCTCCTTTCCTTTCTTTCTCCTTTTTCTTCTCTCTTCCCTTTCCTCTCTCAACCATTTCTGTTTAGTTTCTCCTTTCCCTCACTCTTTTCCTCTCCTTTTGTTTCTCCTTTCCCTCACTCTTTTCCTCTCCTTTTGTTTCTCCTTTCCCTCACTCTTTTCCTCTCCTTTTGTTTCTCCTTTCCCCTCTAGGACTCTCCTTTGTTTCTCTTTTCAATCTCCTTTTTTTCCCCCTTTCCTGTTTTGTTTCATAGTTTTTCACCTCATCTATCCTCTTTTTTGTTTCTCTTTTTTTCACTCTTTTCCTCTCCTTTTGTTTCTCCTTTCCCTCACTCTTTTCCTCTCCTTTTGTTTCTCCTTTCCCTCACTCTTTTTCTCGCCTTTTTTTCTCATTACCCTCTTTTTCCTCTCCCACTGAAAATAACAATTTTCCTCTCCTTTTGTTTCTCCTTTCCCCCTCCTTTTTCCTCTCCTTTTGTTTCTCCTTTCTCCCTTTTGGACTTTTGTTTCTCTTTTCCCTCGATTTTTCCTGTCCTTTTGTTTTTTTCCTCTCACTCTTTTCTCTCCTTTTGTTTTCTTTTTTTCTCCTTTTGTTTTCTTCACTTTTTCTCTCCTTTTGTTTCTCTTTTCCCTCTCCTTTTGTTTCTCTTTCCCTCTCCTTTTGTTTCTCTTTTCCCTACTCTTTTTTCTCCTAAATCTTTTCCCTCATTTTTCCCTCAACCTTTTGTTTCTCCTTTCCCTTTTCTTTTCCTCACCTTTTGTTTCTCCTTTTCCTTTTTTTCTCTCTTTTGTTCCTTTTCCCTCTTTTGTTTCTCCTTACTCCTAACTCATTTTCTCCTTTAGACATCTTACAAGCTTTTCTTTCCCTCTCTTTTTCCCTTTTTCGTTTTCCCTCCATTTTTCCCTCTCCTTTTGTTTCTCCTTTCCCTCTCCTTTTTTTTAAGTCTCCTTTCCCCTCTTTTTTTTTTTGTTTCAAAAGACCCTTCCCTTGGCTCTGCTTCCTGGGAAGAAATTTTCTTTTTTGTTTTTCTTTTTTAATATTTAAAATCCTTTTAAAAAGGATAACAGAATTGTCTTCTCCTTTTGTTTCTCCTTCCCTCACTCTTTGAAAAAAAAAAAGCATTCTTTTTATGGCATTTTTTCCTCTTTTCATTTGACTGAATTTCCTTTTTCCTAGACCTTTTTTTCCTGACCTCCTTTTTTTCTCTTTTTTGTTTCTTTTTCCCTCTCCTTTTTTTTGGCAATTTTTTCTCCTTTTGTTTCTCTTTTCCCTCTCCTTTTGTTTCTCCTTTCCCTCACTCTTTTTCTCTCCTTTTGTTTCTCTTTTCCCTCACATTTTTCCTCTCCTTTTGTTTCTCCTTTCCCTCACTCTTTTCCTCTCCTTTTTTGTTTCATTCTAATCACCTATTTATTTTTCACTTTCTTCTCTTTTCTAATTTCACTGATAAATTCTTTTTTCCTCTTCTTTGTATTTCTCTTCTTGATTTTCTCCTTCTCAGTCTCCCTTTCTTCTAACTCTCTTCTTTTTCTCTGCTACTCTTTTAATTTCTTTCTTTTCCTTTCCCACCCAACTCCAAAAATCTTTATGTCTTTCTCTTTGTGATTTCGCCTATTTTTCTCTTTTCAATGTCAAATTTTCAGTCTCCTTTTCTGTTTTTGTGGAATATGTTAAATATTTGTTTATACTCCCAAGTTTTCAGGCTTGAGCAGTCTGCTTGTAGACATATTGGCACCATCTTTATGCCAATATTTGGCTACTGGAATTTGAAAGCCATTATCTGTCATTCATTTGTTGCTGCAGCTTCTTCTTGTTTTGTTTTCTTATTTTTGTTTCTTTTTGTTTTCTGCTTCTTGCTTCTTTCTTTTTTCTTGTTTTTTTGTTTCTTTTTACTTTTTCTTCTTGTTTCTTTTTGTTTTCTTGTTTCTTTTTGTTTTCTTCTTGCTTCTTTGTTTTCTTGTTCCTTTTTGCTTTTTCTTCTTGCTTTTTGTTTTCTTTTTGTTTTTTCTCCTTGTTTCTTTTTGTTTTCTTCTTGCTTCTTTTTGTTTTTTTCTTCTTTTTTCTGTTTTCTTCTAACTTCTTTTTGTTTTCTGCTTGTTTCTTTTTGTTTTTTCTTCTTGCATTTTCTTCTTGCTTGCTTTGTTTTCTTCTAGTTTGTTTTTGTTTCCTTCTTGCTTCTTTGTTTTCTTGTTTTTTCTTCTTATTTTGTTTTATTATTTCTTTTTTTCCTTATTTTTGTTTTGTTTCTTTTTGCTTTTTCTTTGTTTTCTTCTTGCTTTTTTTTTTCTTTTTCTTTTTTCCTGTTTCTTTTTGTTTTCTTCCTTTTTGCATTTTCTTCTTGCTTGTTTCTTTGTTTTCTTGTTTTTTCTTGTTCCTTTTTGCTTTTTCTTCTTTTTTTCTTGTTTCTTTTTGTTTTCTTCTTGTTTCTTTTTGTTTGTTTTTTCTTGCTTTTTGTTTTCTTTTTGTTTCCTTCTGTTTTCACTTTTTCTTTTCTTTCCTTTTTCTGTTTTTCTTTTCTTCTTTGTAGTTTCTTAATTTCTTCTCTCTTTACATCCTTTCTTTCTCTTATTCATTTTTCTTTACTTTTATTTTCCCTTTCTTTTCTTCTCTTTTTCATTGTTCTTTTCATAATTTACTTTCTTCCTTTTTTTTTTAACAATTTTTTTCCATAAGTTGGCCTGTATTTCCTCAAAAAAACTTGACACTTTTATATTCATAAAATCAAAATAACTCAGAAATTGATAGACTAAATTTTCTACTGCTATCTGCTGTGCCACATACACATGATCAAATCAGCCTCATTTACTTCATATTCCACTGGTAAGAAGGAAGTTCTGTTCAAATAGCTTCTTCTCCAGTACTGTTACATTATAGAACAAACTAAAAAAGGATGCTTCCCCACTGTCTGTTCTATAAATACTTTCATGGAAATTGCCCGAGGAACTGCATTCGCTGGTTCCCAAACTTCATGAGTTCTTTTTTGCCCTACGAGGGGGGCATCCCGCTCTCACCCCCTTCACTGTCGAAACTCCTAAATTGTATTCTCTTCTACTCCTAATAGCTTCATGTCTCGACCTCTCACCTGTGGAACTCTTCTTTCTCCTGTTTCCCTGAGAGTTATAATCTCCAGCTATTCAAGTGTAATGTCAATCGACATCTCCAGTTGCCTTAATCTATCTACTACCCTCATCCTTTCTTCTATCACTCCTATCTGATCTTTAGATTTTCTGTAACCCCTTGCGTCCTAGTTTAATCCTTGCTTGGGGTGAAATGCTTAAAAAAAAAAAAAAAATTACTAAAATCTTAACCTCTTCAAGTCTAGGACCAATCATCTAGGAGCTTACATACCCTCATAAATTCACATCAAATATTTCCCCATGTTTGCCCTTAGAAAAACTTAATTTCATAAGACCCTACCTTGAGTCACTCATGAGCCTTGTAGAGAATAAATAATAGTAAAAAGAAGAAAAAGTCATTTTATGCCTAAATTTTGAAAGATCCTGAGGTTATACTTTGCATAAAATGGTGCATCAATAAATCTGCAGGTTTAAACAAAGTTTGATCTGAAACTTTCACTGTATAATATTTTGTCTATATGATTAATTGAGAAGCGTTGAATAAATAACTACTCTTCATCATTAGGCCATGGACTTATATATGTATATCTGAACAGGGTTTTGAAGTAATTTCTATTCTTGGATGTAAGTAAATAATGATGTATGGATTTATTGATTTGAAATTTACAACTTATGAACCCTTTGCAGGTTATTTAAAGCCAGAAAATATTTTTGGATTGTAAGAATTCTTTGGAGATAACAATGATTTTATTGATACAAATTCTACTATTTAACCCATACCTGGGGAAAAGTGGTGGATTATACCTTTCCCAATGGTATTTATGTGTAAGTGAATATAACAAACCCAACTGGAATTGGCAATTGGCTCTCTGATTTCCAATTCTGCACCATTATGCATTACGCCACACATATATCCATGCTTACAGTACCTTTCTGTTCCCAAGCAATACAGACCAAGATCAATATTGTTTAACTTTGGTAATTATACAAGAAATGTTCTTTCAGTTTGATATGACTGTAAGTCTACTGATATATGGAACCCAGACAGTAAGGATCAACAACTGTCCCAAATTAATTTCTGAACTTTGACCTTTGATGAGTCATTATAATTGTTTGACTTCTTGATTCACTAATTTTATTGTAATTCATCATGATCTTATATCATCAGACAAGAGAATGGTGACGCTAAGCACAGATATTAAGTACTTGATTATGGCCATAAGCACTCACACACATGCATATAAAGGGTGTCCCCCCAAAATTGACATAATTTTATAGTCTAACTAACAGTATAACCCATCTTCGACGGGGAATTTGGGAATTTTTGCCATTCAATTGAAGCAATTTAAGTTTAAAGTCATCCCACCCAAAAATCAATATTAGTAACAACAATTGGGTGCAACTGAGGCAGATCCCTAAATGGGGGGGTGGGGATTAACATATTGAAAAAGGCTATTTTTGCATTCTCAATCTTGCAAGGAAGGCACCTCTTCCATGGACCATCATCATAATAATATATGATCATTTTTATTTATAATATAATTTTTTTTATAATTCTAATAATCTTTTGCATTAGATTTCAACTCTCTAAATTGACTGTACACTGTTTTTTTATAGATATTAAATTTTGCCTTCGATTTTTGCGCAAAGTGTAAAAGAAATCATTTTTTTTCGATTTTTCACCTTCAAGGTTGTAATTTTTCTGGACAATTTGGATTCAAAACTGGCACTGATGAATTATCTATCAAACAAAAAAATTTATCAAAATCGGATGAAAACTGTGGAAATGCATAAACAACATCCAATCACACATACATACATACACACACATTTTGAGAATTATAGATATAGATAAAATAGTAAATTTCTTTTAAAATATCTCAAATTTAAAACAAAATGTCTTATAGATACTAAGTTGACTCTGCAAACTTATCTCAATGAGAATCTACCAGACTTTAGATCAGTTTCAAAGAAAAATGACAATATGCTATTGAAATAAATGTAACATTTACCTCTTGACATTTTTGTCACAAATTTTTATCCTAAAGTCTATAAAAAAAAAGGAGGTCTATATCCCAACTCTTCCTACAAGCCTAGAGAAGGTAAGCAGATAATCACTGAAGTGCTGGAGAATGTTACACAACACATGCTACAGTGTGTTTGGCAGGAGCTGAACTACTGACTTGACATGTGTCACAGGTGGTGCATATATGGAACATTTTTAAATGCTAAAAAAAACGGAAATCTACATCCCTTTGAAGATCTTGTTCAAATTTTGATGAATAAATCTTTTATTATTCAAAATGAAGCCTATTTAGTTTTGTTTGGACATGGAATTATTCAGCTATTCATATTTTAAATGATGTTCATTTTGGGAGGACAACCTACATATATATAATCTAATGTGTCTGTCTGGTGTACTTTCTCAATTTGCAGGGAAGATTCCATTCTAATGAGTTGAACATCTCGGTGTTCACAAAATAAAAATTATAAACAAAATGGATAATTAAAGTCTCTGTCTTATTATTATTATTATATTGCTCTGTAGTCTACATTGAGCTCTCTCTGGATATCCTCCTCAGAATTATCCCTTCCAGTCACAAACTGGTAAAACATATAATTACACACACACATACACACATATTTTAGAATAGGCATTTTATTAATCCAATAGTTTTTTATTACTTTAAATTACTGATAGTCATCAGTCGAAAGTAAATGTTTTGTATTGAGTTGTGCAGCAGGTCCCACTGTTTTAAATTTAACAAAACCTCAGCTTAACTCATATTACATGATGTAAAGTTGAAGTTCAAGTGAGGGGTATGTGCGCAGTTCAATGACCATTGTCTATGTCTTTCTGTGAGACCCACTTCATTCCTTCTGTTTTCCTTTTCATGGGATAGTCAGTTTTATAGACAACAGTTTTCTTTGTCCTGTCATCTTCATCTAAAAAAAGTTCTTTGTGTCACTTTCTCTCAGTCTGAGCCTCTTGATCTTTTACTTTGAAGTTGACTCCAATTACTGATAGCCATCAGTCGAAAGTAAATGTTTTGTATTGAGTTGTGCAACAGGTCCTGCTGTTTTAAATTTAACAAGACCTCAGCTTAACTTATATTACTACACCTGTTATTAGGACAAGAGTATATAGTTGTGTCATCAGCAAAGATACTGAGTCACTACTCACTTGCTTATAACAGTAAATTACTACCTAAAAATAAAATCTAGTTTACCGCTATAAATTCTTTTGTTTTTCACTTGTTGGTAATAAACTGGCTGAAGGGTGATTTTTAAGCCACAAACATTTGACGAGAAGAAACTGCACTCTGTCAATGAACCTGGTGTCTGGTCTGAGCTGTAACACAAGTCTGATATTTTTGTTCAAATCAGATTGATAGATGATCTCATAAATGACATTCAATCTTTTGTTAACTAGAGCAAGAGTCTTGTTAATTTTAATACCCCAAAAGCAAAAGTGTTCTCTATTAATCATCTTAAAGAACTGTTTCTGCTCTCCATCAGTATGGCTGATGCTAGCCTCCAGGAGAGCAATTCACTGTGCCTTCTTGGTCTCATGTTTTCCACTGACATGAAGTGGAATGATATTGATTCCATTGTTAAGTCTGCTAGACAATTTTTCTCACTAGAATCTATCTTACACATGTATACATCTATGTTTCCTCTGTGCATCAATTCTGAGATTCTTGAAGATCCAAAGAAGAATCTGCAATGTTATTGGTCCCAACCTAGTATCTTGGCTTAACTCACTTTACCTCTTTTGCCTTAAAATAGCTTTCCTGTACCTTTTCTAGAAACATTTTCATTGTATTTTTTCTAATGAACTTTCCTCTTTGGTAACTTGATTTCAATAATTTCAGTTCAATACTAGATTGGCAGCTAGGTCTTATCATTTTACACTTGAAATTAATAGTTTTAACTTTGTTCTGTGCTAATGGTTTCATCTCCTGCACTTTCCACTTACAGAACGCACTTCCAGCTTCCTGTTTACCTCTTAACTGCAACCTTCAAAACTTTGAATGCAATGTCAATTGTCATCTTCTGTTTTGTTGAATCTTGTTTGCTTATAATAAAAGTGATGATTTGAATTTGTTTTTGTCATTAGGTGATATGTATCAATATATTAACAAAAAACGTTCATTTGCTTCAAACCAAATCTGTACACACATACACACACACACACACACATATATATATTTTGTGTATTTTGGCAGCAGTCCTTCTTTCATGCAAGTTTCATTAAATATGACAGTCAAGGTGCTTTGATTAAGTTTTTTATTTAATTTCTCATGTGATCTTATAATTTTTTTCTTTTCAGTAGATAAATTATACAAAAACTGTCCAAATGTTATATTTTCCCAAGTGCTTTCAGCTATACATTTAGCCATTTTCAAGGATGAAATATTTTAAGTGTTAACAAGAAATATATTGTTGTATGTATGTATTTAGTATTATAGAATGTTTAATTTTCATAACACAGTCAACATATTGTGTCCATGTTCATAGTGGATATTATTGAGAGTTGTTTTTTTGTTTTTATTAATACGGCTTCCATTATTTTTAGCCTTTTTTTTACATGT